CTTGGACTCTCATCTACGTTTCATATTGCACTAGTGAGACTAGATCAAAGAGATCGAGGGTCCGAACTGTTTAACGCACATGAATATTCTCCGGACATGTTACAGGTTGGCATATCTAAGTTTATATTTTAAAGAAATGTACCCATGTGTTTTCTCTGTTTTCTTTCTCTTCTCATTCTTATTTTATTGTTATTTTTGTAACTTTGTTGTGAACCGTGGAGAGACAGGTTGCTCGTTTATACTATGCAATTTGAATATGGGCTGCATGTAAGCGAGAGCCTTTTCTTTAAAAAAAAGAAAAGAAAAAAAGATTATGTTAGTTGCTAATGTGGTGTATATCAGAATAGGAATAGAGGCTATGTATCAAATTTTGCAAATTGTTGCATAATTGACGTGGATGGGTTCTTTATTTACCGAGGCCCACTCCGAGCCTTAGTCAGGCTTAGATAATGCATCCTTAACCTTCCTCTACCCCCAGTTAACTATACCCCAAAGCTACCCCCATCAGGGTTAGAGTGGGGCAGGGCAGATACATGGTAACCAGGTTGGATTGCCATCCCTAGTTACAGTATTAAAGTTAGAAGGATCAAAGGCATCTAATTCTGAAGAAGGTTTTCATTTACATACTTGCCTATACATATTGTTCTATTGTCCGTTGCTCAACTGCTATCACCTCGTGCAGGTTCGGAAGTGGTGGATGGGCTTATGCAAGTATTATGGGGAATTTTGGACATAGAGCAGCCTAACACACAAACAATGAACAACATCGTTATATCCTCTGTGGAACTAATTTATTGTTATGCTGAGTGTCTTGCTTTGCATGGAAAGGATGCAGGATGGCACTTTGTTGCCCCTGCTGTTTCATTATTCAAGAAACATATGTTCTCCAATGAGGCTGTTCAGACATCTAGCAGGTATATGTATGTCCTTAACTACTCGTTTCTTCTTTCTGTTTTCAAGTTATTAACTTATTTTTTTCTTTTTCTTTTACCTCGCTTTCTCTTCAGCTTAGCTATATCTTCAAGGTTGCTTCAGGTTCCATTTCCAAAACAAACTATGTTAGGCACAGATGACATGGTGGAGAATGCAGCACCAATTCCTGTGCCTGCCAATGTGACAACCTCAGCTACTGGAAATACTCAGATCATTGTTGAAGAAGACTATTACATCATTAGTTCAATACTGTTGTGATGGTTGTTCAACTGTTCCTATACATAGGCAGAGGTGGCATTGCACTGTTTGCCCTGATTTTGATTTATGTGAGGCATGTTATGAAGTGCTAGATGCAGACCGGCTTCCTCCACCACATTTTAGAGATCATCCCATGTTAGCAATTCCAATAGAAGTGGAAACATTAAGTAGAGAGGGCAATGAAATTCATTTCTCTACGGATGATTTAAGTGATTCAAGCTTGTTGCCGGTACACAATTCATTTATCTACAAATATCACTACAATTCATTTCTCTAACAGATGAATTGCAGGTACACACATTCACTGCCTTACTAGAATTAACAATTTTATTATTATTTTGAAAATCTTGCTATTTCTTTGTAATGC